TTTAACCTTGATCAAATAAACTAATTTTATATTCCTTCCTTTTACTTTTAACAATCTTAATATTTAATCCCTTCAAATACTGTCCTAGAACTTGATTTTTTTTCTTTTTTTTTTTGTCCCTTCTCACAGACCTCTTCAAAACTTTAACAAGAGTCTTTTGTAAATCCAATATAGGAAAGTTATCCAGGTCACGCTTTTGATTTGTTATTTGTATATCCCTGTTAATTATTAAGACATCAGCCAGTTTCATTTGTATATCCAGTGTAGCATTTTTTTCCATATCATTCTTGTAGTTTGTCACTTTTAAATACACTTTCAAATCAGTCTCAGTCTTATTCGGTAAAACTTGTTCCTCTTCCATAACATCTTTTAAACACAGTCTAACTATAATAGCAGGCATTTTTAAAATTAACTTCTGGGTCCATTGTTCACAAATATCCTTCAATACATTGGATGTTAAAGTGTTTTGCTCCATTCTATATTAATAAGTCAGATTTAAGTGTTCTTCTCCTTTAATTGTAATTTATAGTTCCTTCTGGTTCCCTCTAGTGTTCAACCTTCAAAGTTCCATCCTATCATGTTTTTATTTTAAGAATTCAAAACAACAGCATTGTCCCAAGGGAAGGATTCTTATAATTAATATCAAAATCTTATTTCAAATCCATCTGTACCCTTAGTCCATTTGTAACTAAAATCAGCATTCTAATCACCCTTTTGCTGTTTATTCCAAAAGAATTTTTTTTTTAATCCTTAAACCAGAATTAAAACTTCTTTTGCTGAGGATTGAAGGAGTCTCACCTGGTGCTCTAAAACTTGCCGTTGCTAAGGTTCCTAATAGCAGTTAAAAAGCAATTTCCAAAAGTGATTTAAGAAATGCGGGTTGGCAAACCTTTTGTCCATATAAGCTACATTATGGCTTTGTGCTTGGTTGAAATCCCTCGATTCCAGCCACTCACCTCATGAATTGATCACAAAAATCTCAGCTCCTGCAGTCTGCTCACGAGAAGCAGCTGTATGGAGTACATGTCTGGCTGTCAATCTCAACCACAATGCTGTCCCCACTCCTTCAGGGATATTTAGTTTGCCGTGAATCCTCACCAGAAGTCAAATAGTAACCTGGATTTGAAGGCTATCTGGGCTAATCTGTAAGCCCAATGTTAATACCTTTATCTTTCAAATAGGCCTGAGAGGGTGAGCATGACTAGAGGGAGTAAGGGCTGTTAAAAGTGATGAAAAAGAGATTAGATATCCAGGCCTTGCCTACAATTGAAACTAATGTATAGTACCTGCTAGGAATACTGTAAATCTGAATGTGGATACTGACCCTAACCCTAACCCTGAATTCAAGCAGGTCTCAGTTGTCACTGTTTTGAGATAAAAGCTTGGCATGGGGGAAGGTAGCCACAAATTTGTAAGACACCCTGCGCAAGTCTCTTTGTCCAGTCTTTCCATCATAGTATGAGGAATAGTAATGTCTTATCTTAACAGTTATTGGAAGATTTACAGTGACATAATCCATGTACAATATTTTGAATTTATGAAAGAAGTACAAAAGTAACATTGTTGATTCCTTATCAATAAATAATGTTGAAATACTAATGAAAGTTTGTTGTTTAAAATGGGATTGACTAATTGACTATTTCATTTTGTAATAGTTTGTAGAAAATTATGAACCTAACAATGCAGAAAACTACAGAAAAAAAGTGGTCCTGGATGGAGAAGAAGTTCAGATTAATGTATTGGATACGGCAGGACAGCAAGACTATGGTGCAGTTCAAGACAACTACTTTCGAAATTCAGAAGGTTTTCTCTGTGTATTTTCAATTACAGATCTTGACTCTTTCGAAGCTACAGCTGATTTTAGGTAATTGGATGAGTATGAGGGACCATTTTCTTTATTCATTTTTATATGGATTATGTTGTCATTTTGAATTATTGTACTTTTTGTTTCATACTGTTCATGCCTTTTCATTCTACCTTGAATGACTTGGAGATGGATTACAACCAAAGGGGATAATTGAGGAGAGATGAACAACTCAGACAAAATGTCATTCTTCAGATTTAGCCTTTTATGAGGAATGGGCAAATCAACCATAATCTGAAAATGACAAGATTAGACCTGAATTTGTGATTCAGTTGGAACCACCAATTAGAAGCTTCATGTAGCCTTACTTAGTACTACTTCACTTTCTCATTTTTATAACAGTACTTCTACAAAGTTCCAATTAAACTGATAAAATGGTTCAAGAAAGTGCAGTTACACATAAGTGAAGCATCTGATTAATGCTCCAGATAACCATGTTTTTAAAAATTTTTAGTATTGTAAAAATTTTCTACATATACAATTAACAAAACAATCTTCAAACTTAAAAAAAACCTTTAAAACAATTAGGAAAAAAACCCCCAAACAAACTAAAAATATAAACTAAGAAAGAAAAAAATAGAAAATCTACCTCATATTTTATACTTAGCAATAGTCACTGGTTTAGTGATAAATACAGTACTATAATATAATCAGTACAAAATATTATTGTAAAAATCACAAAATCTCTGCCATAGAAACACATATTGTTGCATCCTTTGATCAGTAGAAAATATTGCTTTTTCCAAAACAGATACATCACACATTTCTGACAACTATTCCTTGACATCTGGAATAATATCACATTTCCAATTTCTCAGTGTGATTCTTCTAGCCAATCCCCATGCTTGATACAACCATAGTTCTGATAAACAGTCAAATTACAAAGCTTTGGTATGTAGTTTAACATTGTATTAGCATCTTTAACATTTAAGTATTTTCCTAAAAATCTGCTTATATAATTAATACACTATCCCAAAAGGATACTAAATGATCACATGACCATATTATGTGGCTTAGTGAACCCTCAAATTTTTTGCACCTCCAGCATAGAAATTCTGATATCCATCCTTTCAAGTACATTCTTTGAGGTGTTCGGTATACTCAGATACAATTTTTGATGATTCATGGTTAATCTCAAATCTATTGATGCCATTTTAACATTTTTAAGGACATGAATCCACTGATGAGGCTTTATTCAGATAAACATGTTACATACCTACTATATCACTTCACAGGTCTGGGGAAAAAATATAACAACAGAAACAGAATACAATGGGGGAGATTGTGGTTTTGGAAACCAAATGAGGAATCTAAAAGGAGTTCTCCCGTAAGCAGATTCTCTTCCCCATATGCAAAATTAGTTCAAATGATAAGCATTTGAACAAATTTTAGAGTAGAATGTAGAAAGTAGACTCCAAATTGATCTGCTTCTATTTAAACAGTTTGTGGTCAGAATTCAGAAGGTGCTTCCACCATGGCATAACCTCTGTTGCTCCCATTCTACATATGTTTTATAGCTTCTAGAGAATTTGCTTATAAAGCCTTTGAAAAGTATGGATAATAGGTCCATATTATATGTTTCTCCAAAAGGGAGAATCATAACAGATTATTTTGTTTTCTTAGTGTATTTTCATGCAAATGGCAGCTTTATTATAGAAAAAGATACAGAATGCAAAAGCAGTTTTAATCCAGGTTCTGTTAGAGCCAGGACTCTCAAAATGTATTCGAAATCAGTTAATGAAAAGAAAATTCTCATTTCCATCAATCTCTTTAGTTTATTATTGTTTTATTTTGCTAATCATGGTTATTTTTTTCTTCCCTGAAGATGAGATCAAGCTTGAAATGTACCAATCTAGTTATTGGGAGGTATAGGAATTCTATCTGAAATAAAAAAATGAATATTCCAGGTTTTATTCCAAAATAGTAAACTTCACTATGTGGAATTAATTCTGAAACAAAATCTTAAGAACTTCAAATCTTGCATTGTGTAATTTCAGTTTTGATCATGATGGATCTCCTCACTGTGAACTGAACTTTTTAGATTAATTGCAAAACATTCAAATTTAGCTTTTTTTTAAATTATTGAAACAGAATACTATTTTCAGTTTTTTCGTGGCTTAAGATTAAGAGTGTCTCATGATGACAAACCTTGTCCTACTTGAAAATTCTGCATAGTCAGAGGAGACCAGAAGAATGCCTCAAAATGCTCTAATATAAATAAGCCCTTTGCATGGAGAGAATGGCAGTTGTGATATTGTAGCTAGTAAACCATTCAGCTTCTCTCTTGTTAGCATGTTTAGACAATGTTGACCTATTTTATAGCTCTCTTCACCAATGGTATTGGAGAAGTTTTAAAGAAGAAATGGAATAGAACCCTGGATGGGATTATGCATTCTAGCACGACTACATGGATGGGAACAAGGCCCAGGTCCAAAGTATGGCTGCATACAGGATGCAGGCAGTACTTTAAAGACATGGAAGATAGGGGAAAGCAAGGGAAAACTGGGTTGAAATGCAACTAGGACATGGCATTCAATCTGACACATTCTGGTCCTTTATGGCCTATCGCTTGATGAAATTCTTATTTTTTATATAAATTCCCCTCTCACCCCTCTGGGTGGTATGTGTCTTCCTCAGTCTCCAGTCCTCTACCAGATGCCTGGGAGTTTGAGGGTATCTTAGCTGTTCCTAGCACTGCACTCTTGTGGACATATATATAAAATTTGTCACCGCCCATCTTATTAAAAAACGACTCTGGGAAGTTTACAGAGAAGATAAAATCAATTAAAATACAATATAAAAATAGTCCTGAAAAAATAATACATAAATATATTCCAAGAATTGATGTTCATTGGCAAGTAGCTCGAGGAGCATCATCAGGGCGCCAGCCATGCCCAGGATTGCTTAAAACTCTTATTGCCCCATACAAGCTGGCAGAGCCAGGTCTTTAGTCCTTTCCAGAAAGCCGGGAAGGTAGGGGCTCGCCGCACCTCTGGGGTGAGAATATTCTAAAGTTTATTCATAAACCTTCCTGGAGTTCAATGATCATTGCCCTTGCTTAAACCTGAAACCTAAAAAAAAATACTACTATTTTTTTTCCTCACTACCACGGTGCAGCTGGTGCCTCCTAAATGATATTGTTTGTGTAAGTCTGATAGTTTTTTGAGAAAACAGCCCACGTGGGCAAAGATCTTTTGTAGCTCTGTAGCAATACTGGGTAGGAGATAGATGCAGCAGCTATTTAAAAAATAGCAATTATTTTAATGCTGTTAGATCTGGGTGGGGAAGTGAACCAACTTTTTGATATCAGAGAAGTTTCTCCAACGTAATTCCTTCACTAATTTCTGCACTCTACATCTCTTTTTTAAAACAGCATGCATTTACTTAAAATCCACATAATACTGACAAAAAAGCTATATCACATTATTATGTTGGAGAATATTTGAAGTGCAGAATCCTTGAGTATGAAATGGGGAGAATGAATCTGAGTAGAACAAATGGCATGGTTTGGAATGACATAACAAATGTGAACAAAGAAAAAATCCCAAAGGAGATATCTTTCTGAAAACTTTGGGGAAATGAAACTTTAAGTATGTCAGTGTAAAAGATGCTGCAGCAGCTGCCAAATTTCCTCATTTGTTTGGTGACTAGATACAGTCATTGAACTGGAACCAAACAAATCAGAGTGAAAAGTTGTGGGTTTTTTTTAAGTTGGGGGGGAGGTTGCTAAATAGAAGATGATGATTCCCCTACATAAAAATTTATATATAAATAGCATATGATGGTCACACTTAGTATAAACTCTTTCTTCAGTGATTAAATGTTTGGTAGTGGGGATATCAGTATCTCACTTCTTACTCTCTTAACGCAAATCATAAATAGCAGACTATTTCCTATCAAAGAGAAAGGATCCTTAGTTGACTGTATAGCATAGGAAGTTAGGTGACAATTCCTAGCTTAGGTATGTAGGGGTTTAACCAAATTAAGCAAAGCATTGTAATTTTTGGTAGATTAATGGACAAGGTTTAGAGATTAGAGAAATAGGGTAGCTGTGTAGATAGATACTTTATCATTAATCTGATTAAACTTGAAGGCTAATTCACATGATAGTGGAAAAACCTGCCTTGGCACCACTTTATAGTAGTCTAGTTTTCCTATTTGAAAAAAAAAATGTCAGGACACTGGATTAGTTTTATTTATTTACTTATTCGAACATAAGTATCTCTACTATATTTTCTGTCTAGCACTGTTCTGTCATTTTCTGTATCAGTGACAAAAATTGTATTTAATTCCCCTTTCATTATTGCTTTGTCTCCAGTTTTCTCCATAAGCTCTTAGTAGGCTGTTTAGAAATTCTTCCCATCTTGTCTGATGTTGTTTTTCATGCCAGATTTTTATCTGTTAAACGTGACTTATTTCCTTTTTACAGCACCCTATTCTGCTATTCTTTGATCATAATATTCTTCTCTGTTATAACTAATTTTTCATAATTTAACCAGTTTCTTTCCAGTGCTGTTATGTTGGTTTCATAATTGTTTTAGCCAAGTACCATGGAATTTAATTATTCTACATGTTTAGTTCCAAATGCTGTCACAGATAGGTAGCAGTAAAAACATATTTTTAATAGTTAACAAATCATCTAATTTTGGACTGATTTGAATATTCAGCTGCATGTTTTTAAAATGTCTATGATTTCTTTCTTCTCCAGAGAGCAAATTTTAAAAGTAAAGGAAGATGAAAATGTGCCATTTCTACTTGTTGGCAACAAACTGGATTTAGAGGACGAAAGACAGGTTTCTGTAGAAGCAGCCAAAAATAGAGCCTATCAGTGGAATGTTAACTATGTGGAAACATCTGCTAAAACAAAAGCTCATGTTGACAAGGTAAAAGCTATTTCCTGTTTCATCTTCACAGCTGATCTTGCTTTTCATATATGATTTGCCAATAGAAAAATACTTTTATGTATTATACAGTATAATACACATAAGCTGCTACTGCTTCAGTAATATAGCAATAATAAAGGAAAGGGCCTCTGGATATCTCTATTTCTGTTTGTTTTGCTTATACTTTGCTTATGGAATTCTGTTGCATAATTCTATTTTAAAATTTTAAAAATAGTTTCAAACTTCTGTAATTTTTGTTCAAAGTGGAGATGGAATTGGGGAGTCTCCTTAGCTTCATAACTAAATAAACAATATGAATCAGAATTGAATGCATGTCATATTAAGTATTTATTCATATTCCTCCTAGGCATTTTTTGATTTAATGAGAGAAATCAAAGCAAGAAAAATGAAAGAGAAACTTGAATTATTCGAATAGATGGTGTCAACTCTACTAGGTAGACCAGACCAGGAAATCAACTTCGCAGGAAGGCGAACACTACTTTTATTGAGATCGACTATAATAACAGAATCTTGCAAGTTTGATTGTGCTGTTCATCTTCATCCTTTTTATCGTTCAGTGAATTAAGAGGTGCCTGACTGGGCCGCTTCTGAATGTTAACTGGACATTCTGGACTTAAAAAAGTGTTTTATCCCTTGTTGCATATCTCTGTCAAGGTCATTTTCCTTACTCTCTACAGATGGTGAATTCAATCTTCATTTGTGTCTATTTGGGGAAAAAAGGGTTTTTTTTATTGATGTTTTTAATTCCCAAATTGTTTTTCAATTTTGAATTAGCTATAACAAAGGAAGGCAACACTATTCTACACCAAAAGAAAAAGCTGCTGCAGATAAAAATAGGATTAGTAGCTAAATTATCTCTCAATCTCAATCAGTAAGTGATTATTTAATCAGCAAATCTTAATAAATGCATCCTAATCAGTAAACATATTTCTTGAATGGCCTGTAATTTACAGTAGTTAGTGTTAGCCCATGTCACAGCAAGACTTGTTTAATAGTCCAGGATTGACCCTGGTACTTAGCATTAGAAATATTGACAAGAAAATAAACTGAAGAGGGTGCCTGTTTGTTAGTGTCTATGGTTTCACACTGTCATTGCCATTTCTCTTTTGAACAGATCTTACATCTTTTTTATCCTCTTCTCCTGAAGCATTATATTGTAGGGTTCCTCTTCTGTTCCAACAGTGTATTTCTATAGTCAAACAACTTTGTCCAATTGTTACTTTTCTATGAAGAAGAAATGGAGGTAAAAATGAGAAAGTACAACTGACGCTAATTTAAAACATCAGCAACTCCTATGATGAATGGATTCTCTTTAGTGATAATAATTAAGCTGAAAAAATTTAAGGAGCTGGGATACTAGGAGACTGTGGTGCAGAAATTTCTGCTTCCTAAGCCCTGCCAAATCAGCTATCATGAGAGAACATGGGTGGGGGAAATATTTTCTGTGCTGTATTTGCCATACTGTTTCATTTTCCTTCTCACTGACATAAATAGAAAAAAAAAGTGTGCCAACTCCAAGGCTAGCATACCTTTTCAGCCTTTTTACAGAACAGCAGAGAGATATGAGGGGCTCCTGATACAACAGATCCAAGTCATGACATCTTTTTTACCCACTTCTGTTCAACATTATATAGTGGGGTATTTCTATGAAGCCACACAGTTTTGGCAAGTTATTCCTTTTTTATAAGAAAAATGGTACAGATGAAGTGAAACTGCCACCCAAATTAAAGCAGTGTTAAATAACACCTGTGCTGAATAGATTAGTGACAAACATACATGCTAATCCTAACAAACTTCTTGCCTGCTTGGTCAGAAAATACCAGCTGAAGTCAAACTTGTCATGAATCATATACTGAAACTGAGCACATTGCTTCAGGTATCCAAGAAATGGGAGAGATACTCTAAATTATGCTAGGAATGAATGTCTGTAGTTCACTGTCCAATTCAGTCCCTTCGGGCACCCTTTTGCCTCATCTTCAACAATAGTATATTTTGGTTTCTGTTAGTGCCAACTACATTCAAGGTATGGTTTGGAATGTACCCTAAGACAAATTATTTTGAGCAGGGCTTTAGTGCCAAGATGTTAAAATGCAGCTTATTTTTTATCACACTTATTTACACTTAGGTGATAATTTTATCATCTTTGAAGTGTGTACACTATTGTTAACTAGAAAGCTGCTGTGATGTTGGACTGGAACCAGGGAGATCCCAGCTGAAGTCTATCCTCTGCCCTGGAACTGTATTGGGTGACTTTGGGCTCATTACTCTTAGCCCAACCCACGTCATAAGATGGTTGTTGTGAAGAAATAGGGAAGAAGCATCACGTATACTGCCTTGAGCTCCTGCATGAACAGCAGGATATACATGTGAAATTCAAAGTATTTTTTATCACACTTATTTACACTTAGGTGATAATTTTATCATCTTTGAAGTGTGTACACTATTGTTAACTAGAAAGCTGCTGTGATGTTGGACTGGAACCAGGGAGATCCCAGCTGAAGTCTATCCTCTGCCCTGGAACTGTATTGGGTGACTTTGGGCTCATTACTCTT